GAGAGTGGGACACGGGGGACACGGGGACACGGGGGACACCCCGCCCCAGGGACCCCCGGGACGGCCCCGCCGCGCCCGGACACCGGCGAGGGGATGGGGACAGCGGGGACAGCGCGGGGGACACCGGGGACACCCTGATGGGGACGGGGACACCGGGGACACCGGGGACACCCCAGGGACATCCCGAGGGTGCCGGGAACACCGGGGGACACCCCGGGCACATCCCGAGGGTGCCGGGGACACCCCGGGGATGCCCCGGACACATCCCGAGGGTGCCGGGGACACCGGGGGAGACCCCGGGGACATCCCGAGGGTGCCGGGGACACCCCGGGGACGCCCCGAGGACATCCCGAGGGTGCCGGGGACACCGGGGACACCCCGGGCACATCCCGAGGGTGCCGGGGACACCGGGGACACCCCGAGGACATCCCGAGGGTGCCGGGGACACCGGGGGACATCCCGGGGACATCCCGAGGGTGCCGGGGACACCGGGGGACGCCCCGCAGGTGCCCCGGGATGGGCTCAAAGCGCTCCGCCGCCGCCGCCGCCGCCGCCGGGGGGGATTCGGGGGTCCCGGGGGTCGCATCGCGCCCCGAGGAGGCTCCGGCGGAGCCCCGCAGCCCCTCGGGGTCCCGGGGAAGTGCCGGGGGGGGGTCCCGGGGGTCCCACCGCCCCCTCCCCAGCCGGGACCCCCGGCCCAGCGCCGGGCTCGGGGCTCCCGCAGCCGCCGCCGGCCCGGGCAGAGCCGCGGTGCCGGGGCCCTTCCCGCAGGGAGCGCGCCCGGCGCGGCCCCGGCGCGGCCCCGGGGCCGGTTCGGCATCCCGGGATCGCCCCGGCAGCGGCCCCAGCCCCCCGGTGCCCCCGCACTCACCATCGCCGCCGCACCTTTGTGCGCGTCCCCCCCGCACCGAAACCCCGGCGGCGGCGGCGGCGGCGGCGGCGGCGGAGGAGGAGGAGGAGGAGGAGGAGGAGGAGGAGGAGGAGGAGGAAGAGGAGGAGGAGGCGGAGGAAAGCCCGGCTCCCCCGGACCCCCCCGAGCCCGGCCCCGGCCCCGCCGCTCCCGCCCATTGTCTGCGCTGCGCGCTCCCGGCGCCGCCGCGGGGCCATTGTTTGGGGAGGGGGGACACCCGGAGACCCCCGAACCCCGGGGACCCCCCCCCCCGACAGCCAGAGACCCCCCCCCAGCCGGGGGGATTCGGGGTGAGGATGCGCTTTTTTGGGGGAGGGGGCGCTTTTTGAGGAGAGCCCCCCCATTTTTGGGAGGACGGGGCGTTTTTTGGGGAAGAATCCCCCGGTTTTTTTGGGGTTTTTTTGGGGGGGGGCAGTGAGGGTTGAGCCCCACCTCGTGTCCCCCCCCCCGGCCCCGCATGGGTTCCCAAAAGGTCTCGGGACCACAAAGGGTTCTCAGCCCCCCAAAATTGCCCCCAGGGGGTCTCAGCCCCCCAAAATTGCCCCCAGGGGGCCTCAGCCCCCCAAAATTGCCCCCAGGGGGTCTCAGCCCAGGGGGGCGGGGCACAGCCCAGCTGCTCCCACCTTGTTTTGGGGTTTGGGGAAGGATTCTGGACCCCATAAACACCCCCCCCCCCGAAATAAGATGGTGTCCGGGTCCTGCATCCGGCCGGGTTTGGGGTGTCCTGGGGGGGGTCTGGCCGAACCCCCCGGGTTTGGGGTCACCCCCAGCCCCAGCGGTTCCGGGGTGCGTGGGAGCGGCTGGAAGACCCCAGCCCCATCCCTGCGCAAATGGGGGGGACCCCCGGCCCGCAGGAGAGCCAGGGCGGTGGGAGGGAGTTTTTGGGGGGCGCTGAGGGCCAGCAGCACCCCTCGAGCCAGAAGAGGTCTCTGGGGACACACGGGGGGCTCCAGGCCTTCATCTCCCCAGAGGGAGGGACCCCAAATCCCCCCGAGCCCCCCAAAGCCGCCCCACGGCGTGCGGAGCGCGGGGGGGGCGCGGCCGCTGCCCGGAACAGCCGAGCGCTCAATGGGCGAGGGTGGGAACGCGCGGGCCACGCCCCCGTCGGCGCTGGCCAATGGCGTGAGGCGGGGGCAGAGAGCCGCGCTGCCATTGGTGGGATTGAAATGCGTGTGGGGGTCAA